AGCTTCTATTTCCCTGTTTAGCATCAGTCGGATCCGTCGTTATTTAGTTCACCTTCATCACTCATGTGTGCGATGAGTATACTGGGCAACGTATCCTGACAAAAAAACAGATCCTAGGTAAGCGTACTCTGAACAGACAAGTACAGTGGCTCGATATGTTTGCATACTTAGCTTTATATGTCAAGCACGAAAGTTCAGCATCTATATATATATATCTATAGTTATGTATAGTTTTAGCCTGCCGAAGCACTATTCTGTACTACATTGACTAAACGATTTTTGTTTCTTACACAGATCACAGCAGTACAATTTAAGTTCGTGCCATGTACTGGCTAAAAAAAAGTTGATGACTTCGGCAGATCATTTAAAATTCCCGTTAGAGAATAACAAGTTATCGTAGCGCTAGATGAAAAATAGAAACAGATTACATCACAAAAACTTCGACGAAAAACACAACGATCTAAAGTAACCTAAACAATTGCTCGACGAAACCTGAAGAAACCCGACGAAAATCCAAGAAGGCAAAAAAAATAGAGAGCAAGTAAATGCCGATGCATATTGGGTATATTGTTTATTGATGCCTTTCTAAAGCCACGGTAATATGGAGCAATTGAATGAACTGATTTGACAAGCTAATATGTGGTCAGCGTATTAAATAGAAACACAGGGACCCACGGGCTCCGCTCCGCGCTGTTTTTGCCGCTGATTTGATTAATCTGCTACGTTGTTACGCCGAGCCCAACGTAGTACCTCTGCTTCTCGCCACAAACTACCCTGCTGCAGAAACCGTACGCCCTATATCATTCTAACTTCCTGGTGTTATCTCGTACTCTCGCTAAATTGTTTTAACAGTCACGCAATCATCCGATCGTTCTGTTCTAATATTAAAAATTTTATTTATGTTGCAACAGCTAACGAATTGCGCCTAGAGTTGCAATGATACTAGGGCCCAAGCAAAGCAAGTTCACCGTCGTGTCACAGGCCCCCAATTATAATGAGTAAGTTGACATATTACCTTGTTTTAGTGATCCCGTTAGCGTCGATAATTTTCCTCTTCCATTGATCGACCATTCCCAACTTAACCTATAGGTCTATTGTAGGTGCATTCGTCTAAATTTAGCTGAATTAACTTAGTTATCCAATGTAAGCCGGAACAAATCCTACTGCACCTGCATAGGGTCCACCACCTGCTTCTAATGCGGAGCCAGTCGAGTCAATTACCGTATTCGAAATCTAGCTCACAATATTTTGTTGTTTCCTTTATATATATATATATATATATCTTATAGCTGTTTGGTATATAGGGACCGTTCTTACAATTCTAATGCCTTACTGAAGTTTCCGCGCTCGTCCATTAGATAATAAAGGCTCTTTCCTAAAGTCTACGCAGACACACTCGTCAGATGTGAATCTCAAGGTATGAGTAAAGCAATGTTTGCACTCTCATAAGGTCTTAATCTTCTATGGATTAAAAGTACAGCTTGAACCTTTGTTCTTTTTTGTCTGCATGTATACACGTTCTTTGAACCTCACATTTATTAGACCCGAAAAAAACAATACTGGTAAACACGGAGCTCTTGATAATGTTCGGATCACCGGATAAGCCGTCTGGGGAGCTACATGAGCGTCTAAATCGTAAAAAAAAACCCTGAAAATCCTAGATTTGATATGAGAAGAACAAATACTTGTTGCGAACAATTTACCAAGTGCACATACACAGCGCGCGACTTGTGCGTTGTATATACACACTCAGGTCATATTAGACGCCCCTACACGACGCGGGCCCCAAAACAGAGACACCTGCACAATTTGCGTGCCGCGTGCAGTAAACAAAAGCAAGTAGGAAAACACCAGGCGGCAGTTAGGTCCTTTCGTGGGACCCATTCCAGTGATCATTAACGATGCCACTTAAATGATCCAGCCGTTATAACTCGTAACAATAACCGTTGTAGAGTTTAACGAATATTCAACAAGCAGATAAAGTCCTTAGGACACGTAGCTGACTAAAGTACTTGTTTTCTTTGCTTTATTTTATGATTTTTTATAATCGAGGCCAGTTCTGACGTGCTAGGATTGTTTTAGTCGATTGGGCAATCTGTATCCATATCTAGAGATTTATATTATTTGTCTAGTGGTAAAACGTGTAGTTATGAAAATCTGTAGAATAGACATAATTTTCAAGAGGGTGTACAAGCAGAAAGTAGTAACGAGTGGCAGACGAATTAAGCCGACCGATACTATTTACCCTATAAATATATGTACAAGATGCGGCACCTTAAACTGGAACACTTTCTGGTGGACAGTTCATTGTAATGGACGTGCGTTTTCCGCCACTTATGGCATCAAGCGAAGTTTTTTCTAGCTTTTTCTTTTACAAGAAAACAAAGAGCTCGTTAATGGCGTTTTCGGAAGTTGACGAGATTAGCTATTATTCAAGCTCTACCCATTGCTCGAATCAGACAGAATCAGGATCGAAATCGGATAGATGCGCCCAGAGGACAATAGAACTAAGATATATGACCAGTGTTGGTTGCTCAACAAACAGATAGTCGTCGGTTTTTCTTTGACAAGGCATTTTCTATCATCAGTAACTCACAAATGATTGGTGGTTTCTCATCAAGCATTATACTCGTTGTAAATAGAAGTAAATTTTGTGTGGTGCCCGTGAAAAAGACGCCACGCCATTGTCGTTTTTTAAGTGAGACGGACGTAACACTAAAAGCGTCGCTCTATAAATTATTGGTTTTATGAAAATACCAACGTATTCTGGGGGGTATCCCCGAACAAACCGGATTGGGTTACTGTGCACAAAGCATTATTGAGCTTGAGGCCAACAAGTTTTCATATGGACGACGCTGACTCTTTGACTCGTGTCTTTATCATGAAGGCGTTTGCAGAATCGCAAAGAAACCATTCGCGTACGATTTAAAATACGTAATTATGTCGAATAAACATGACCATCAAGAATCATACTGCTAACGTATATAAACATTGTTTTAAGTTAAATAAGGTCTTAGGACCAGAGCAAAAAATTACCCATATCTGGTGCCGTGCCCTCTCTGTATATATGTATACATGGTTATGCATAAAGTATAAGATTCTCATTTGGAAATATTATTCTAAAACTTTATGATTAATATGTTGACGTCCTAGTTTTAGCTCACAGCTGCTACCACATCTAATTTCTACTAGAGTTAAGTATAGTTTTATCTAAATTTACACGTCGAAATAGCTTGCGGTCAAGGACATCGACGCCGATTCAGGCTGGATACGTTTAAAGGCCCAGCGTCCCCTATTCGGTTAAATCCTTTATTCGATTTTGCTATACCGCTTATGGTGCAGTGAGTTTTAGAAGAAATTTGTTTGACCTCTGCTATTAGTTAGATCGAAGTGTACTGCTTTCGGATCATATCTTCATCTGTTATCGAATAGGTGGCCATAAAAGAATCAAGTAAACCAAAATAAGCTTAACCGTATACGACTGTAGCGACATTTTTCCCGAAGGGATCTACAAAAAAAGGTGGGTAAGGTGTCGTAGAAGGTAAACAGTTCGTTTGTTTGTGTACTACCTTTTACTCGGGTCAACGGTTGAACACGCTTCAATATAACTACGTTTGTCAGATTATTCCTCAAGCGTTTTACGAGTTTCTTCAACACGATATAATGTACTACGACACGGTAGAATAGTGTTGATTTTTCATGATCTGTGGCTATTTTACAATTTTCACAATATGTATAGTTCAAATAATAGCTGATGTAAGGGAATCATCATATCCGTCCTCCAAGGAATGGTTGAGCATACATTTTAATTTTTGAATAGAAACCACGCAATACTCACGTATTCCCTAAGGGAATTGGTTCACGTTTGACACGTTGACAGCTGTGGTCTGCGGCCAACAAAATTTCAATGCCAATCGAAGGACGATAAAGTTGAATAAGAAGAAAGGTTCAAGTATAGCAAAACAGTAAGATAATAAAATGAACTAAGATGTGAAAAGGATGACAATGTCATTCGTTGACGGACAATGACTAGATATGCAAAGGGTGCGACACAGCGTAAGGGACGGCCGGGTAAACAGGCACAAACTAGTAATAATATAAGAGCCCGTATAAAAAAATCCGACCCTCGCTCTCTCTCTCTCTCTCTCTCTCTCTCTCTCTCTCTCTCTCTCTCTCTCTCTTGTCGTCATTCTGTTTCCCAGTCCTGTCGATGAACGGACATTCTTTTTGGTCCTACTCTAAGTGAAACAGATACAAGTGGATACGTAAGTCAGGATGTCGAAAAGCATAAAACAGACGACTCGTGCCTTTCAATGACACATAGCATCATCAATTGTGTTTCTGTCCTTTGCTCTTTCTAAATACTTATTATGAACATATTTATTATCTAAAGATCACAGGTATAGCATAGAAGTAGTGCTGAAATTTGAAGTCTCACTTCAGGTTTTTTAGAGAATATGTGAAATATTGTAATTAGTATGAATAGAAGAGGTAGGTATCGAAGTTTTTTTCTCCACATATGGTTTCAGCAAGAAAAGAGGTCGCTGTGTGTGTTTCATCATATGAGCTTCATCACGCCACATAAATCAGGAATATGAAGCAAAATACTCTTATTGATAGTCGTCAATCTTCATGCAGTCTACACTACACATCTGATAACATAAACAAAATTTTAAAATATACTCATCTAAGACCTATTCTGTGTCTAAGAGTTTTTGGCGGTATTATATACATGCCTATAATGTACACTTTTTTAAACTGTATTGCCAGCCTGCAGCTATCATGTATCGTGTGTTGTCTCACGTTCTCAGTTCTCTTCTTCGCGTATAGAAGTTCAACTACGTATAGAAGAAGTTAAGAGTTTGTTAAATAGGCCAACAAATTCAGCGGAACAAATTCATATTTATTAAACGACAATTAACCTTGAAATCACCAACGCTATCTACAGTTACTCCCACCATCGTACTCCTATTGTTGCAAGCCAAATAAATGATTCCCAACCAACTGTTAAAAGTCAATTACAAAACGTGAGAAGAATGCAACCCCTAAATTGAGGAAAAGACTTTAACAGGTGGAAGAGATCGTCAAACGCAAATGCCCCACTCATTTTACAAAATTGTATTTCATTTTATTTCTCTACGATAGGGTTAATCAATTAGTCCGCATTAACATCGTTCCCAATGTCACCGACTCGGAACTAACACGATCGTTTCGTCGCTAGGTCGGAGTTCTGCCGAGTATTGACGCGCCGCACTGCTTCTCGATCCCGCAGGTTCTACCAAGTCTGAACGTTTTTGCCCTTTACTTTGTTACTGAAACGCCAGCTTGGTTTCTTCCTTAGTAGTGACCTCATATTCAGTCTCTTTCTTTCGTCGACGGCTTTTTTCATCGGACCCAGCGCGGATCCAACGGGTCATATCTGGTGCATCCGCTTGAACCTTCTACTGTCCACACTCTTTTTCAACACCTACATTTGAGGCCTCTCGTTAGCGTGACCTTGAGCGCACACTAATGACGGTTGAAGGTGCGCTACGCTTTAGAGCAGAAGAGTTTACGACGACCCACTAGTGCGTAACACTGGGTTGGGTCAACCAAGAACGCTGCTACGGCTTTCTCCATGCGGCTTATCTGAAATGCATTGGTAACTCAAAAGAAACAGGTTGTTCGACGTAGACGAAGCTGGGAATACTGGTGGCAGGCGATAAGGTGCCAATGCCGATGAAGCAGAGTAGCGGAGGTCGACCGCAACCTGTGGGAAGAGATCTAGTAGCGTAAGCGTGAACGAGTTCAGTTTTGACATACGCTTATAGCTTTTCAAGCGACCCAAACTGCCGATACTGAGGCACTGATGGCTTGCTACCTATAACGGTGCGTGCTGATCAAGCAACAGCAGCCATATCTAGAGATATCAAAACATTTAAGTGGTGTTCAGCAGCCGCTGTCGGGTGCCGGCGGCATATAAATTTAATAACCATATATATATATATATATATGGTTATTAAATTATATATAACCGTGTGTTTCAGAAAGAGATGCAAGCATTTTCAAGGGTAGAGTACTCGAACCTACATAGACGACCAAAGTACTTGAGGAATAAGCATATAGGGGCCGAAGCACTTGTATAGAACACTCGTTATACTATACGAAACAGGTGCTGCGCTTCGCTTGCGTAAACATTTCTATAGACCTGGCCAGCGACCGATAGGTTCGGTCGAGCGTTCATCTAAAGCCAATTATCACACGAACTTTAGAGATAAACACTTGATCGATGGCAGTCTGCATCCTGTATTCGGATTTTATAGCTAAATGACACTTCCTGTCCTTCCTCGATTCTCAGACGAAACCCATCGAGATTTGACGGCAATTTACCGTGTAAAATATTCGTGACGCAGAAAAATCAACAAGTAAGTCTCGACGCTCCGTAGTTATTCAGCTTATAGCACCCTGTTTATATGTACATAATAGTCATCGTAAATAGAATCGTAACTTAAAATATCACAAGAGTCCCAAAAGCGGGACTTTTCGACGGTGCATTCTGTCAGGCCATGACAATATAAAAAGAAATTGAGGTATACGGGAGTACAGGAATGTTCAGTAGCATTACCAAACATTCTTTGAATAGGGCGTAATCTTGCCACATCTTTATTCTATTTCTAGAATGATCTAAAAAGGAACGCAGCAAATAACAACATCCAATTTCAGATGCTGATTTCATACAGTGGACAATTTTCACTAAAAATAACAAAACCGTACCTGTATATGCCATTAGCAAGAAAAATATATGCGTAATAGAAATACTATTTTTAGCTGCACATAGGCTCGCTGCTGTTCTTATTATTAAAGTAGGTTAGATAGAAGTGCATTAAAACGCAATCACAGTCTCACAATATACCGGCGAACGCTTTGGATCGTTTTTTTTTTTACAATTGATTATAGTAACTCGGGGCTGGTTACTAACCTCGAGTCTCTGCATATTAGATCATCCCGGCTGTAAGCCGTGGTGTATTACTACGCAGGTTATCCAGAAGGGGTTTACGGCATAAGTAAACCCGCTAGAAGTAAACTTACATTGCAGAGTGTCAGATTTGATGCGATATGCTATACCATCTATGGGTTTTGCTCGGCTTTCTGGGATTTTTCTAGAAAAACCAACACGAAAACCAAAACTAAGTTTGAACCAGCTACTAATATATGTTTACTTTTACCATGGCTATGCACTTAAAGAGATGCACATTACCTAGACCTCGCTACTCTCAACATCGGCCTTTCTATTTACCTTTATCTTTTCGTATCACGATCCAGATTAATATCCATAAAATGGCAAGGCGTCATTTCATCCGCGGTACCGCAGAACGAACCTTCTAGCTCGTATTAATTAGATATTCTTATTTCGTTGTCTGCGTACGATTGAACAATGTAAGAAGCGCGGCGATGCTCGAATTAAGATTGTGTTTAAACTGTAACAAGCTGGCGTGTATGAGGATTGCAGAAAAAAGGACCCGTCAGATACCAGCAGAGGACTACATCACCTGTAATAAGGCGTGCTCAGCCCTTTTTTCCGCCTATATTTGTACATATACATATATATATATACATATGTATATATATATATATATATATATATATATATATATGAAGAACAAGGCTCAGAGGAGGTCCTATGAGCTTTCTTTCGTCACAAGAGGGCTCGCAAAGATACTTGAATTTCTCTAGAATAATTTCATTATAAATGTTAACACTACGAAAGGCTATGTCGAGTCGTACGACGGCAGGCATTTTCTTTCTTAAGCAGAACAAACTGTATTGGAATGGCAAAGAATAACAAGAGTTCTGTAGGCTACGGCAGTTTTTCTTTATGAGCGCTACGTATCCGGTAGGCCATTGTTGTCCCAATCGGATTCGTAATACAGAGTACGTTGTCCGATTTTAGCTTCTTTTTCTCCATAATTTGCTAGTAGCATTATCTGTATCAGTAACGCGTACAAACAATAGCAAATTCATTATCTAGAAATCCTTTTAGCGGTTTCTCCAGCAAAACTGAAAGCAAGTTGGATTTCTGTGTACGACCCCTTTTAGAGTAACATAAATTAGACCAATATTTTTTGTTTCTTCAATTTTTCCTAGATATTGAAGTCAAATCAAAAAGTCTGATAACCATCACACATATTTTAATCGTACTGCAATAGTGAAAATACTTTGGCTGGACGTCTTGCCGCTATTTTACGCCTATCTAAAAAATTGACACTGAATCCTCAATTATTTATTCTAATGTTCTATGTAGTCACATTAATAACGAAAAAAAACATCTTCTACAGCGTATGTAATATAACATTGCTGCTACAAGAGCAACTATAAAAGTACGAATCCTTGCTATTCAATGTATATGTTAGCATATGTGTGAATGAAAAGCATTTCTGAGTCGGTCAGCTAAATAAGAAATAGCTCTAAAAATCTCAACAACTCCTCCATATTGTCTCCTGTGGTTATTTCAATTCAACCGCTAGGCGTGCCTTTAAGCACATCAATGTGGAAATAGACGTCTTTCTAATCAGCTTGCAAATAGTCTAGCGAAGCCTGATGGTCCGTCCATTGAAATGAACTACAACTTACAAAACTTTTCAAACAGTAATTCCTTCACTTCAGATAGAGACAATTCGAACAATTACAAAGGTGGAATAAATATTTCTTGTAACTGCAGTTTCAAAATTGGCCACTCGAAAAACCTGAGCGCCACCAGCGTTCTATCAGTTTGAACTACTACAGTCTTGGCAGGTCCGCGACAACCTCTAGATCTGGCCGAGCTTTATATAACAGGTACTGGCTGATTAAACAAGACTCAGAAAACGTTGCATAGGCAAGGTACCGCTTGGCCGCTGCTGTCGATGTATCCGGCGTTTTCGTTGCTATCGTCCCGCCCGTCGCTGTTCTTCATGTACTACGCTGTTTTCCTTTATAACCACTGCGACTGCTACTCTTGGCCTCAACAGCTCCTAAAGCGTTTCCTTCCTTGCTTTGCCTCCTCTCTAGCTGTTTCGTAGCGACTTCTTGACCTTGCGTTCGACTGCTGACCTTTCAGACAATGATGGTTTTGCTGCTGCTGCTGCTGCCATCGGCGATTACTAAACCGGGCAAGAACAGACCGAGCTGGGCTATGCTAAGCTGAAGTCCGCAGTATCTGTGTAGTTTAAGTGTCCTTTGTGTCAATTCGGGCGCAGACTGTCCACCGGATGCTGCTGTCTCACCGGTGAACAGAGCGCGATCTGAGACGAGGCCAGATGTTCCGTCTGTTAGTCAGGGGTAATAGTAGTAGTGGTGTGGTGGCACAATTAGCAGAGCGTCTGTCCGTATGCCCCACGGGCTTTACGCCGCCTTTTGGCTGTCCTTTATGCTAGAGAATATCCTTATATTTTCCAACCGCTGCGCAGTAGGCTTCTGCTACTATAGTGGCCACTATCTATTATCCGTCGCTCATACTGTTGCTGCTTACCAACACCGATGCCGTCCAATTCTTATTAAAGGGAGACGAATTTATGCGGGTACGAGGGCTACAGCTGCCGTTGCTTCTTTCGTTTGTCTAGTGAGGCTGGATCTGCTCGTCGGGCGGCTGGTCTTTGGGCAAACTCCGTACTGCCCTAGAGTTTCGCTAAGCTGGATCTGGATAAGAAGACACTAGATAGCTGGAAAGAAAGTTGATGCTGGCACATAGTACGGCAATTGACTGGTTTGTGGGTCACTAACCACTGCTAACTTGCGAATTAATAGACTGATGCATCGAATTTAGAACTTAATTATTATTTCATTTAGCTGATTAAAATAACAGACTAGTGCATAAAACATGAACCCTTTTTATCGTTTCAAATTTCTTTCCTATGTACAAAATTGTTACTTTAATTAGAAATCTCCTTAGTATTGTTTTTATTACCTTATTAGAACGCAAATTTCTTGGTGATATTCAATGTCGACAAAGAGATACCGGAGTGTTAACAGTAATAAGTGCAAGTTCTCGCTGTACCAGGATGAGCGGCGATGTCCTGCGACAACTCGAGGGACCTTTCGTTCGACTAACTTACATCGCATTTACTTTAATAAGTATGCTCGAATCAGGCAAGGCTGATTAAAGCACGGATGATGTCCCACAAATCTCGTATTGATGACAAAAGCAAATCAACGAACAGCAAAAACTAAAATGAGATGTATACACGAAAATGCGCATTAAAACAAAAGATTAAACAAAAGATAAATATGGTGTCCTGCATACTCAATGAGAACTAGCTGAAATAAGAACACAATTATTTGAGAAAAGCTTAGTTAGTTGTCCCATCGAAGTTAGAAAGTAGTGGCATGTCCAAACTCCTACTATTAGTCTAATATAGTGTTAATAATTGCTGAAATGATCTTTTCCTTGTAAGTTATTTTTGACAATTTTAATTAGTAGTTCTATGTGAACAAGTTAACGTAATTTAGGCATAGCGTATAGGATTTGCCTCCACTAGGGGCCTAGTCGGGTCTTATTTGAGGTTTTTCCAACGGTATATGCCATTCGTATGGCATTATTTAATGAAGTCACCTAAAATCACTCCAAATGATCAATTGCCACTAATTAAATAATCAGATCACATATAATTGATTCGACATAAATTTCTGCTACAGGATATAAACATGCGATAATGGATACCATCGATTGATTTTACATACGTATAAAAGTACGCGACACTTACTACTCCAACGCTAGCGCGCATTTTAAACTGTGAAAGGTATACAGAATTGGGAAGTGAACGTCATTGAAATATATATATATATATATATAGCAGTATTGCTTGTGCATAAATCCCTATGTTATAGCGGCTCAAAATAGGTACGCTTGATGCCACGTTCAGCGAAACGCTTGGTATGGAGCCAAACTTCTATATGTTTAAGTGGCAAACATTGTGCGACACAGAATTTCATGACACAGTTCAGTCGAAGTCCTTAATATGGAGTCACTCAATTGGGAAAGCTTAAGGGTCTGTTCGCATTGTTGTAAATCAGTCTTATATCATCTACAGATTCAATCATAACTCACTGATGTTTTCCTCCAACTACTAATCGGCTCCGACGTTGCCTTTTGTAGTTGTCTCTTTAGGACGTTTCTGTGGTCATTAATTTCCGTTTTTCAAGAATTTGCAGCAAGTATTTTTCTGTGCGTATAAGCAGCGAATGTTCTTTTTGGCGTTGTCAAGACTTGTAAATGACTTTTGATTGACAAAAAGACAGATTCACAGCGCCAACGCAGCATAAAATACGCTCAGATGCTTTCGTCGAACGGCTTCACACCGATGCCGCCAGATCGATCTACAAAGTTCTACTTCTTCTCCGATTTCTCTTTGATGCCATCGATATCGAAGCAAGCAAATGGGGGATTCTCTCTTCGAATTTTCGCTCCATTATGTTGGCGTTTGCCCGCTCCATTCGTGTGCCTGTAAGTTGTCGTTCTTGCTGCTGGTTCACAAACATCTCTATAACGAAGCTGAGTCGGTTCGTCCTATCTGCGCCACAAGGAAATCTGGAAAGACCAGATCCCTATCTTTTTCTAGCTGTAAGTGGCTAGTGTGTAGAGGAAGCTTTTAACGATGCACGGCCTTAGACAGACCGGCGTAACCATTATGTCCTTCACGATTCTCCCGAATGTATGGCCGATTACCTCGGCACTTTTTTTAGCCTGCGATGTTTTTGCCACCCCTGGTACATACGATATACTGAGGGGATAAAAAAAGAAAGCTGATCACGGCTACAAAATGAAGGCAAACTACCGCGGCGAACTTGATCTTATTCGCAACGAGAGGGCTCATGGGACTGCCATGTATGAAGCTAAAAATAGGTAAGGCATACTTTCAACATGTTCTAGCATTTTACGCTTAACAAAAAACAATTTGTCTAGTAGATCAATAAATAACCAGGAGTCCACCACTCGCCGTGATTGACATATTCAACATCAACGGACGCCCGATTGTTTTCTTAATAAGGTAGCGTGTTGATCGGCATCTCTAGTGGGCACTATGTTTAAGTCATATATTACCAGAGTCATTTTTCGTGCCAGGTGCACTGAGAACTTAAATGTGCACAATTATATTTGTCTTCACTAATTTAATTAAAAAAAAATATCGTTAATACTTCAGTAAAACCAACTGAATATAAATAAAATTGTTCTGAAATGTTTTACGCTGTGATTTCGTGTACATATAATGTATAGTAATTTTCCCTCTTTCTGAGTTAGTAGCTTGCTGTTGCGCCTCGAACAGCTAAAAGATAGACGAGCATCGTCGGTAGGATCCTTTGTTACATAACTATCTCATAGACATATTTCTTAATGGACAATTTGAAACAGTA